GTGTCATTTTTGTGTAAAGCATCAATTTCTTCCTGCATTGCATCTGTCCATTCAGGTTTAGACAAAGCTTCTGCCACATTCTTAGGAACGGGGACACTATCCACAGAAGAGAGGAAGGCACGGTGTGATGGTGAAACATGATCATAGGACACAAAATTAGAGATATGATGATTAGTGGTACAAGGCCTAACACCCTTTTCTCTTAGCAATAGGAATATTAAGATCATTGATGACAGGTGAATCAACATTTAGGGGAACAGACATATCAGCAGGAGCAAGTGTACCTGGCTGATGAGACGGATCTGCCTCGGGTGAATCCGATGATGTTGGTTGCATAGTGTCAGGTTCCACGGCTCTTGAACTCTACTGGCTTTTATGGCGACGATGAAAAACCCAGAATGGAGGAGGATTGGGTAAAGGAGGTAATTGAGTTTGAGTCGCTTGTTTCTCCTCAACCCTACTCTCCCCTTGAGGAGAAACTGAGAAAAAAGGTTGATTCTCAAAGAAGGATACATCAATAGAGACATAGTACTTGCGAGAGGTGGGACCATAGCAGCGATACCCCTTTTGAGATAAAGGGTAACCAAGAAAAACACAAGGAATTGCCCGAGGATCAAGCTTACCGCGAATAGGGGACAGGTTATGGACAAAGCAATGACACCCAAAAACACGCATCGGAATGGTGGACAATGGGGTTGTAGGGAACAAAAGCTGATGTGGGGCCTTATACTCTAGTAGCCGAGAGGGCATGCGATTGATGATATATGTAGCACACAAGACTGCATCCATCCAAAACCGTTTTGGCACATTCATATGAATTAATAAGCCACGAGCTACTTCGAGAAGGTGGCGGTTCTTCCRTTCAGCCACACCATTTTGTTGGGGTGTCCTGGCACAAGAGCTTCGCTGAAGTGACCCACTCGAAGCAAAAAACTCCGTGAGATCACTATGGAAATATTCCTTCGCATTGTTCGATTGGAAGATATGGATTTCCGTTTGGAACCGAGTGAACACCATGAGTTGGAAATCTTTCACAATTTTTGGCACTTCATCCCGAGATCGCATAGGGTATACCCAAGTGTATCTTGAATAATCATCAGTCAAGGTAATGAAGTACTTATAGCTAGTCTCAGTAGGTAGAGTAACAGGGCCCCAAACATCAGAATAAACAATATGAAATGGAAATTCAGATATTTTATTTCACAAAGGTAAAGAACTTCTACAATGCTTACTCAATTGACAAGTCTGACACTGTAACTGACTCACTGACAAGGACTCAAACAACTTTGGAAACATAACTTTTAATGACTCAAAAGAAAGATGACCTAGACGACTATGCCATAAATAGGCTTGATTCTCACTTGATGAACTCATGGACTCTGTAGCCATAAGACCAGCATTATTCTCTAACATGTAGAGACCATCCACCATGGTTCCTCTACCAGTCGTCTTCCCTGAGGCCAAATCCTGAAACACACATGAGGATGGAAAAAAGTGACTGAGCAGTTCAAGGAGTGAGTTAGACTACTACTGGACAGCAAATTAATAGGTAATTCCGGAACATACAGTACATTAGGAAAGGTAAGCCCAAGTGGGAGAGGTATGGTACCTTGGCCAGCTATGGTAGAAAAAGAACCATCAGCCAGTCTTACCTTATCTCTCCCAGAGAGAAGGTTATATGTCTGAAACAAATTTGACTTACCGGTCATGTGGTTTGAGGCTTCGGAGTCAATAATCCAAGGAGAATCAGTGGTATGAGATGACACATGGAAGGCTGTGGCAGCATTACCTGATGTAGACGCAAACGAGGTAGAAGGAGTAGGACCAGAATCCATCTGTCGGAGAGTCCTACCATACAATTCCAAATGTTCATGAAAGGAGTTGATAATATCTTCCTTAGGGTCAAAACTGGGATGCCTCTCTTGAGTTACCAAAGGACTAGTCTCTGTCGACGCCATATTAGCTGAGTTATACCTTTTTTGATTCTTCTGGCCTGGTTTCTTGCTCTGATCAGGTGTTGACTTCTTACCCAAATCCTGTGCCCATTTAGGTTTTCCATGGAGTTCCCAACATGTATCTCTCGTGTGTCGTGTCTTCTGGCAGTGAGTGCACCAAAGTTTGCTCTTATTATCTATTTTTTTCTGAGAGTCACCCTTTTTAAAACCACCTCCGACATGTGTATCTGAATTTCCCCGGACAGCTAGGGCAACTGACTCCCCTTCTACACCATTCATCACACTTCTTCTACTCTCTTCTGACTGCTCCAAGGCATACACCTCCTGAACTAATGGCAAGTCTTTACTGCCCAAGATCTGCACCCTGATGGACTCATATGAAGGATTCAGCCCTAGGAG